TCTCCACTGCCCTGTAGTCTTGGAAAGTACCTTATGGCGGGAAATAGCAAATCCCCTTCCCCCTCCCTCCTTCCCATGATCTCTAACATCTCATCTGAAGTTTCCTTTCTGCCCTTAAATGACAGGTCTCCCTCCCTTCCCCTTTCACAGAGAAGGCAAACTGTGAATGGATTTGCTGGGGTTCGAAACTTTCAAAACATTTAATATACTAACTCATTTTGCAAAGAGAAGACAGTAATGACAGTTTACATTTGTATCATTGTAATATTTTTGCACACTGATTTCAGTGGATCTCAGTCTCCTAAAATTGTCAAGATAAGTGTCAAGACAAATGTTTATGGAGTATCTACTATATGCCAGTCTCTTTGCTAAATAGGAGATATTTATTAATTACCCTCACCGTGACCCTATGAAGCAAGTATTATCATCATCCCAGTTTTGCACATAAAGAAAAAACAGCAGTTTGGAGATGACTTGCTATGTCTTTAGCTGGTGGGGGGTGGAGGCAGAATCTGAACTCGGGGCATCAGGCTCCAGAATCAAAGTTTTCAAGAGAAAATGATAGAGACAGCTAGGAAATTAGGAGGCAATGGACTGGGGAGGCAATGCCACAGGATGAAGGAAATTTAAGAAAGAAAATTTAAGGATTTAGAAACTTGTAGTACTAAGTTTAGAAGAGCAAAGATGCAACCAGGATATGTATAATCAGGGCATTTATATTTTTGAGACTGTGTTTTCAGCTGTATTCTGCTGCTTTTGGTCTCTTCTTGAAAACTCCCCCTGTTTAGTGCTATGCAGGCTCAGTGTGTTTCGTTTTATAGAGATGTTAGAGGCTATAGGAAAAGAAAGTTGGGAAAAAAGGAAAGTTGCCTTTGAGATAGGCTGTCTAACTACTACCTTTCTTTCCCTCTCGATCTGGAAAATCCTTTGATGTTTTGAGAGTCTGTCTGACACCTGACTTCCTCTTTGGAAGATCAAGCTCGCCTGCTTGGGAAATACTGGGTTTTGGCATCAGAAAGACTCAAGTTCAAATCCTGATGCTGATCCTTTTTAGATATATGATGTTGACGCATGAGGGCTTGGCTTATACTCTCTGAACTTTTGCCCACACATGTGAGCAGGGCTGTTGTCCATTCTGGAGGGTTTTGTGAGGATTGGAGGTAAACAATGCTTGTCACCTGGTGCAAAATATACGCTGAGGGCTGGCAGCAACAACTGAGAAGGGTGGAGTTGGCTGGATTGTTTAGCACCTCTTCTCCTGGGACTCTCCCCCGCCTGCCCTGTGTGTGTGTGGCAGGGTGTGTGTGGGGGTGTGGGGATCCGTGCAGGATGCTGTGGGGTTGGCAGACCCCTGGAGGGAGTGTGAGTGAGCTCAATATCCTCAGAACCTGTGGGAACCTGACGTATTTTAAGGCTTGAAATTCACAAAAGGAATAAAATAGAAAAGAGGATAAAAGAGTACCTGAGCAGGAAAACCAGTGCTGACGTTGGTAAAGGTCAGTCAGGTCACCCCGGCTGTGGTTTGCCCATAATAAGGCCTTTCATGTAAGGGGAGCTCAGGGATCACCCTTGTCCCCATTCTCCTCCCTTAAGGGTTTCAGATTCTACAGTCTTCAAAGCCACCCAAGAAACTTCTGACTCCAAGCAAATTCCCTTTTTTGACCCCCAGCAAACCCACCTTTGCCCTCCCAAATGCTCTCCCTCTATACAAGTAATGCTGACTAGAGTCTTTGAACAAACTGTTTATGTCCAATTACCATTCAGCCAAATAAAAACATGTGAGTTAGTAATCACTGTGTCACAGCGACTGCTGCCAGTTATATTTTAATTATTGCTTACGTAGCCTGTCCCCAAGCTCCAATTATTTGCAGACTTATAAATACTAGTCATCTTCCTTTATTCAAAGAATAGCCAGGCCTAGAGGCAAGAGCACTGCTCAGGGACAGAATCTTGACTCTGATCCCCTTAGAAAATGCCTGACCACAGACAAGCCTCTTAAATTTCCAAGCCTCAGATTTGTTGTATATGAAGTGGGCACAGCTTGTCTCCTCCCAGGGATCACATTTCCTGTGTAGAAGAAAATATTTGAAGGTGTTATGTGAGCCTAAGATGGTTTTTAGACCAAAATACAATGTTTTGCTCTCTAACAAAATAAGCCAGTGTTGACAATAGCACCCCATTCATGGTGAAAATCTTACCTGTAGCTGCTTCTACTGTTCAGTTAAAACTGGTGGGCAAAAGCTCTATGGTCTATTTCAGGTCAGTTCTGGAAAAAAACCAAAGTAGCAATTAGAGAGGAGGAACAAGAATAAAAAATCAGATTGAGAAATAATTCATGTTAGACTTGAGATGTTGGTTGATTGCTCACTGACCCTTCTATTCCAATGGGCCTGATTTCTGGGACTCCTGCAGCTGGTAGAGACAGCAGCTATTTTTCCCCAAACTACTCAAGGTTTATTCTCAAAATGAGGTTCTTTTCCATTCAAAGCCACATGGAGAGGCCATCTATCTTCCTAAAAACACCACTTTCACCCTATTCTCTTCTTCAGAAAAACCTTCAGTGATTATCCATGAACTAGAAATTGATGCTGGATTGCAATTTAGACTCTACCCCGTCTCCCCACCTCCCACTCACCACCATCAGCCCTGCCTTACTTATGCCCTCTTTCTTCCATAAAACCAGAGACACCAGCTAAATTGGTTTCCTTCAGGTTGCCCAAGTAACTCCCCCTTGCTGATAAGGTCTTTGCTCCCTCCTTTCTTCCTTACTGAAATGAGTTTCTTTGCCCTCTCCCTACTTCTCACGTGTAATCTCAATCCTACCTGAGCCTTAGGGTCTAGTTTAAATCTCTTCCTTTCGTGAAGTCTTCCTGCTCGCAAGTGGTCTCCCCTGCACTGCTGCAGAGCCTCTGTCTAGCACATCTGGTAGGGAGGCACCTTCATTACACTCCAGTCCTGGAGATGGGTTGGGTCATTTCTGGGGGCCAGAGCCTGTCCTGTGCAGCATTCTTCTGTCTCTCCATGGATGTGAGTAAAGCAGGTGCCATCATAAGCTTCAGAGGACTGTCTTATGAGGGCTGTGACCAGGAGGTCAGGCAGGACTCTAGAATCATGTGGCTGTAGCCATCAAGACAGGCCCACCTAGTTGCTCTGTAAAGGGGCGACTATATTTGTTTTCTTTGAGGGATTAACTCAGTCAAAATGAAGATAGTGCCACCTGAGAACTCTATTGGAGAAAACTCCAGCTTGGCCCTTGTGCTGAGGGACAGGGCCCTTGTGCTGAAAGCCCTTGTGCTTTCTCCTTGGCCCTTGTGCTGAGGGAAAAGAGTGAGGGGACTCAGACACTAACATGGCAGCTTATGTGCCAGGTGCCATGCCAAGCACCAGAAGTGGATTATCTCATTGCATTCTTGCAAGGATCTGATGAGGTTAGTACTGTCATAATCTTCATTCATAGCTGAGGAAATAAGCTCAGAGAGAGTAAATAACTTGCCCATTGTTCAAGTACTAAAGTTTGATTTGAACCCAGTTGTATCTGAGTCCAAAGCCTGTGGGCTTTGTTTGTTTTTTTAAAATCTAGTCTACACCAGTGGTTCTCAAAGTGTGGTCTCTAGAGCAGTAGCATTAGCATCTCCTGGAAATGTGTTAGAAGTTTAAGTCCTCGGGCCTCACCCAAGTCCTACCAAATCAGCGATCTGAGCTGCTACAAGTCCTCCTGGTCATGCACACCCAAGTGTGAGTACTGCTGCTCCACCCTAAACCTCCCACGAGAGTACCCCCTTATAACTCGGCCTAGAAACCATACTAGCATAAGAACATTCCAAGATGCTAGTTATGTATGGCCCCCTGACCATGCCAAAGTCTCACCTAATATTTCCGTGTCATCTGGTTGCTCATCAAGGCATTCTTGGAGCTTCAAGTGTGCCTGTAGGTTTGGAGGGTAGTGAGAAAATTTTAAAAATTTCAAAAAAAGAAAAAAAAACCCTCTTAATTCCTTCAAGTCTTTCTTGATACAGTTTGTCACAATTTTATCATTTTTCTTTTGTTTACTTTATGTTCTCTTGACTGAACTGCCAAATTTCCAGTACCTAATATATTCTTGGTAGTTTATTCCATCATTCAATAAACATGTGTTGGGTACCAAGTAAGGGACAGCACAGTACAGGGTGCTCGTGTGTGAGAAGCGACTTAGAGGCAAACCCAGCCGACCTACTCAGAGCCCACAGTAAGAAGGCCGTCACCAAGCAGCGTGAAAAGTGCTGCCCAGGGGCAGGACAGCGCACTTTGGGAAAACAGGGAGGCCGGTCTCCCAGCCTTGCAGTCAGGAAGGCTGCTTGCGGAGGTGAGGCTTCAGCTGATGACCTAAGGAATGAATAGTGTCATAACTAGCCCAGGAAGAGATGGTTGGTGGCAGGTGACATGCAGAGCGCTCTGGGCTGAGAGTGGCACACGTGTGAAGATCTGGAGAAGAGTAAGATGCTGGCGTGGGAAGGGCTGCAGCAAGTTCAGAGTGGCCGAAGCCTTGAGTGGGAGGTGGACGTGAAGGAGAGGAGGCAGCAGAGTGAGGCAGGAGGTAGACCTGCGGCCTCATTGGCCTGGTCGTGGAGTTTGAATTTATCTTAGGGAGAGGGGAAACCATTTTAAGAAGAGATGTGATATGGAAAAAGCGTATCAGCTAGTCACAGTCACTCCAGCACAAATATGGCCTTACTTTGATGCAACTTCTTTATTGTCATTAAATGTGTTATCACTGTTAATAGACAGTCAGTTCTTGAGAGTTATCCTTACTCCTTTTGTCTAGCACTTCCCTCAGGTTGCCGGTGCCTTCTTCACCCCACCCCATGCCCTGCCCAGGCCTGGTAAGAGCCCGGCTCCCCCTGTGAGCTCCCGACCAGGGCAGGCAAGAGGGCAGGCAGTGCGTTTTGCTCATTTGCATTGCTTTATCACCCCACGAACAGAAGTAGGTCACCTTCAGCATTGTCTCCTGCTCTTGGCTTTAGGGTGCCTGTCCTTGCTGGTGACGGTCCAGGACACAGAGCGTTATGTCACCCTGTTTGCCTCTGTCATCCTCAAATGTGACTACACCACCTCTGCCCAGCTCCAGGACGTGGTGGTGACCTGGCGCTTCAAGTCCTTCTGCAAGGACCCCATCTTTGACTACTACTCTGCATGTGAGTACCCTCCCCCTTCTTGCTTCTCTGGGTGGCAGGCACCTCCGTAACGTACTGCCATTAGGGCTTGGGAATTATTTAGGATCACAAATCCTTATAGTGAGAAAAGACCACAAAGATCACCTTATGCAATCACCTCATTTTATAAGTAAACAAATGGAGCCCAGGCAGATGAAATAAATTATTCAGGGTCATATACTAGTTCATTTTAATTTTGGGGGGTCCTACCTTGTCCTAAAAAGATTTCAGGCAGCTCGGACATGAAGCAAAAGGCAGAGCAAGTCCTGCCTCCTTGTGCACTCCTGACTCCATGCCAGGGCACTGAGCCGAGGAGGCAGACCTGCCTCTCATCACCCCCACCGCGCTGGCACACAGGCAGGAAGACTCCTCCATGCCTCAGGACCACATTTCCTCCTGCAGTCCACATTCCCTCCCCATTCCTCTGCTGACTGAGCACCCCCAGGCAGCCCATGTGTTTTGGGACATCTCTCAGTGCCCCACAACTCCCCATGAGGCTCAGCCCATCCTGCGTCTCAGTAACAATTTCCCATTCATGTCACTTCCGCGTCTGGACCAGAGCTCTTCCCCGGCTGCCCATTTGTGCCCTATCCGAAGGAGCAAGGGAACCCAGAATCCCACTGCCAGCCCAGAACAATTAACCTTTTAGAAATTTGGAGAATAGAAGCAGATACCCTGTTCATAAGAGGGGAGCTTCCTAAGGCAAGGCAAAGGGAGAGGGAGGCACCAGCTTTACTTTTTTTAGCCCTGGGGCTAATGTCTCCCACTATGATTTGAGTAAAACCACAACAGCTAACTGCTGAGCCACCCACTGAACCTGATATCATCCCCAAAAGACTCCTTTCTAAATCGAGGTATGGTTTTCTGAGGGTTACTCTTAAAATGCCTGGGTTAAGAGAGAAGAGAGACTTAGGCGGTAGGCATAGCTCTCAAACCTCATATTGTAAGAGCAGGTGGATGAACCCTGTGGGAGAGAGGCTGGGATGATTTTGAAAATGAGACAAGGGATGTTGGGACAGGAGACAGAAGGATACAGCTGGGATTTGGAAATGATGGCCTGTTGGGAGGTGTCTGGAGTCTTGCTGCTCAAAGTGTGGTTCCTGGCATCACCTGGGAGCTTTTTGGAAATCAGAATCTCAGATCCCACTCCAGACCTACAGAATCACAGTCTTCATGTTTAACAAAATTCCCAGGGGATGCATAGGCTCAGGAAAAATTAAGACACTTCTCTGTGTCTCACATAGTGAGCAGGAAGGGCACCTTCCTTCATGGGAATCTCCTACTGCTGTGTGACTCAGGTGTGTCCTCTCTCCTCAGCATACCAGGCAGGTTTATCCCTGGGCCAGGACCCATCAAATGACTGCAATGACAACCAGCGGGAAGTTCGCATTGTGGCCCAGCGGCGGGGACAGAATGAGCCTGTGCTGGGCGTGGATTACCGGCAGCGTAAGATCACCATCCAGAACCGTGAGTGTGGGGGAGGCGGCAGAGGAACTAGGGGCAGAGGGAGGAGACACCAGGTCTGGCAAGCTGTGTCAGCATGGGATTTCCCTTTTTTCTGCCTAATGGTCTATTTGGTCACTGTCATTGTCTGAGCAAAAGGCTATATTCATTGAATGTGCTGCACCATCTGAACTTCCCTGGAAGTTGGTCTCTGGACCTAAGCTTTGGCTATGAAGGTCTGGGGCTGGGTGGTGTCCTTTGCTCTCCTAAGATTTAAGGTTAAGGCATGGATCAGGTTCCTTTGATTTTTTCCCACAGATTGCTCTCAGGGCCATATTTCTGAGTTCCCCTCTGGCCATTCCTGTTGTCCATTTGGAAGGAAATAGGGACTTCTGAGTAGATAGCTGTCTTGAGAACACTGCCCTTCATTGATAGAGGAGAGAGCATTGGGCCTGGATTAAAAAGCCCCAGGCGAGAGTCCCAGTGCTCCCTCTCACTAGCTCAGTGCAGTTATTTTCTCTGGCTTCTGTTTCCTCGTCTAAAAGATGGACACAATGGTATTCGCTACACCAAAGTGAATAGCAAATGCAATATCGAAGAGCGGGGCCTAAAGCCTCTCTATTTGTGCCTGGTGCAGGGAGTAGCAGTTAGATCCTTGGCTCTGGGGTCAGACTCAGGTGTGTGTCCCCAGTCTGCATTTAGAGGATGTGTGAACTTGGACAAGCCCCTTCAATTTCTTCAGCCTCAATTTCTATAAAATGGAAATTGACATAGTACCTATCTTATGGAGATTTGTGAGTACTGAGATAATGTTTATAAAGCATTTAGTAGTGTGCAGTGAGTGTTAGTTATCACTCAGTATACTTTTAGATAAATGGTTTAGCTCGCCACATTCCTATCTTATAATCCAGGGTTCCTGTAGTAGGTTATCAGCACAGAATTTGGAGCCTATTTAAATGAGCCTTATGTGCTGTGTTAAATAAATATTTGCTGGTTAAAAGGGGAAAATGGGGAGAACTCAGTAGGCTACTCATGGTACCATATCTATAATTTGAGGAAATCAGGGAATATTCTATGACTATTTAAAGGGAACCAGTTTAATAATAATTGCTTCCAACTTTGTAATACTTAATTCTGATTCTTTTACATCCAATCTCTGATTTCTCTAAGCCAGCCCAGATCCCTCAGCCTTAGGAAACATCTGTCCTTCTTTTCTAGTCTCCAGGGACATCTTCAAAGATCAAGGGGGTCCCACTTTTCCAAAAAAACAAAAATAAGTCCGAACCGAACCCAAAAGAAAACAACCTCACAGTTTCTGAAGGCTGAAAATACCCATAGGTGCTAGTTCTTGTTCTTTTGGTTTTTTGGGTTTTTTTTTCTAAAAACATGAATGTATATACCTTCCACTACCTCCACTCCCAACAACCTTTGGATCAAACCTTGCCTCTTGCTCACTCCCACAGGAAAGCAGTACTATTTCCCTGGGGTTTTTATTTCTACTTCCAGATTTGCTGTGACTTCCTGGAGCCCTTGTTTTCTGACACTTTTATGCCTGTGAAATTTGAGACAACCCTGTCAAATCAGTTCTTGGGTCCTTAAAAATATTAGCGTATCTAAATGCCCTCATTACTCAGCCATCCCTAAAATGTCCTTTATGTCTCCAATAAAAATTGGGGCAGATTTATAATACATATCAAGCTGTAAGGGGGAATTTCCCTTAAAGCAATTTCACCATTCTTCCAAGTCTGGAGTAAGCTCATTTCTTGGAAAGGTAGTGGGTTTGGAAAATAGTGCGTAGGAAAACGTTGTAGGGATTGACGTAGTAAATAGAAAGAGAAGGAAACAGAAGTCAAAGTTAGGTCCAGTGTTGCTATGACCTTGCATTTTTGTTCCATTTCCTCAATAAATGTTTCTTTACGAACAGATAATAAAGAATTGCAGATATGACCACCAACTAAACAGGAGCAAGTCTATAAAGCTAAGGTCGCCTGGCTCTTATCATGGGGTAAGAGAGCAGGGACAGCCAATGAGCTGAGACCTGGAGGTGGCCCCGGTGCCTCTGACTGGATTTTAAACCCTTTCAGGTCAGAGAAGGGTCTTGTTCCTTTTAGGTCTCCCACACACAGTGCCTGACGTAGTGCCAGACCCACAAGAAGTCTTTGGTGAATATTTTTTTACTTTGCTAAACTTGAACAAACATGTTAACCATTCATCTGTCTTAATGGGATAACGTAGCACTCAGTGCTCACAAGAACCCAATGTTTTCTTGAGTTACATTTACTCTTAACATATTGGCATTTCATCCTTACTTATTCAAGTTCATCTCATATCTGTCTCTTTCAGATCTAGAAGTATTTGATCGTTTTAGGCTAGTAAAGGCTGCAGGCTGTAGAGTTTTCCATTCACGTGGGAGAGGACAGTGGTTAAGAGCTTTGAGGCAGAGAGACGTGAATCTGAACCTCCCTATGCTGAGCACCATGTCTGTATTAATAGGCCAGTTCCTTTAGCCTTTTTAAGTCTTGATTTTCCTCCTCTGGAATGAAGTTAAGTACTAATGCCCACAGTATTAGTTAGGATTAGGTTTGATTGTGAGTAAGCAAAAGCCCAAAATATTAGTGACCTAAACATAAAGAAGTTTATTTCTCTCTCACATATAAAATAAGAGTTAGTGCGGTAGCTCTGTTCCACTGGGTCCTCCCCAAGAATGTCATCTTCTTCCTCATGGTTCACAATGGCAGCTGTTACATTTGTGTCCCAGGTAACACAGTCCCAGGTAACACATGAGGGCTAAGAAGCCCTCATGGCCCAATCACCTTTTAAAGGTCCCACTTCTTAATATTGTTATGATGGCAATTAAATTTCAGCATGAGTTTTGCACAGGACAAACATGCACATCATAGTAGTCATGTACATGGTCAATATTCTGTGACCATGGGAGAAGGAGAGAATGAACAATGGGAGACAATTGGTGATCTATACCACACCCACTTATAGGCTGTGGTGGAAATTAAATGAGACAGTATATCCAAAATCCTTGCAAAGCCCCTGATGGAGCTCAGTGATTAGTGAGTTCTGTCACCATTGTATTGTTTGGAGAAATAGGAATTGAGACCTTTCTCTGAACTCCCAGGGGCCCTCCCTTGTAGGGTGTGGAAGGATAATGCTCAGGTCTTAAAGCTGACATGGGTTAAAAATCAGTGCCGTCTCCTCTGACCACTAGCACTTTCTCCCTCCCTCCTGTGTAGGAGCAGATCTTGTGATTAATGAAGTGATGTGGTGGGACCATGGAGTGTATTATTGCACCATTGAGGCTCCAGGGGACACCTCAGGAGACCCAGATAAGGAGGTGAAGCTCATCGTCCTGCGTAAGTGCTGCTGGAGCTTTCTATTTAGCCACCTCACTACTGTAACACTTTTACTTACAGGAAAAAAAAAAAAAAAAAACGGAAATAAGCAAACCTAGGTTATTGTCACTGCATTGGCAGCCTCTGAAGTTCCCTTATGAAAGCTAAACGTTTTTCTTTTTTTTTTCCAGTATATTGCTCAACCTTAACCTGTAGATCAAGCGCTGTATTTATTAGATGCCTAGAGTACGAGGACTGGAAGCATTCCCCCTGAATGTTTGGTCTGAACCCTGCTCGGTCTCCCCTCTGCAGACTGGCTGACGGTGATCTTCATCATTCTGGGAGCCCTCCTCCTCCTCCTGCTGGTTGGTGTGTGCTGGTGTCAGTGCTGTCCTCAGTATTGCTGCTGCTACATCCGCTGCCCCTGCTGTCCCACCCGCTGCTGCTGCCCTGAGGAAGGTGAGAGGGAATAGGCGAGTGGTGGGATGAGATGGACTAATGCCCAAGACCCCAGACTCATCAGCTTCACATGCTCAGGCCAAAAGTTCTCCCAGCTTCTCCTCCATGCCCTTCTCTCATTGCAGGCTCAGAGGACATTTGCCACAGCCCTGAGAATGATGCTTGGGGAGGCTGTAGAGCCACATGGAAGGTGCCCACTTTCTAGGCTGCCTAAAGCCTTTGTCAGATAGCTCTGCCTACAGATGGCACTCCCTCAGTGTCCCTGATAGCCTGTGCTTTAGTCTTTGCTCCTAGCACTGGCCTTGTTTAGACATAAGGTGCCTGGAGGGAGTTGTTTGAATGAAACAGAAAGAATACCACTTGTAAAGGAAAAATCAAACTTGTTTCCTATTCTCAGGCACTACTCAACATTTCTGATACCAGATATGGGGGGGGGGTGTTTCCCACACACCAAGAATTCTCCAGCGAACACCAATTGAGTGTCATATAATTTAACTCAATTCTGACACTATTTACCTGGAGGTATCATCGCATTCACAGGTTGAGGGCTCAGTGCCACCAGACTCTCCCCTAACTTTAGATGCAAATCGCAGTTGTAAGTAGTAGGTTGTCACCTATCCTGCTGACCAACTGTCTGTAAGTTGAGGGTTCCCATGACCCTCTCCTTGGGTTCAATTAATTTGCTAGAGTGTATCACAGAATTCAAGGAAACAATTTACTTACTTATGTTTACCCATTTATTACAAAGGATATTTTAAAGAATGCAAGTGAACAGACAGAAGAAGGAGATACATAGGGGACGGTATGTGGAAAGGGGTGAGCAGCTTCCACGACCTCTCTAGGTGTGCCATCCTCCCAGTATTTCCATGTGTTCAATAACGAGGAAGCTCCTTGTGCCCAGTCCTTTTGGGTTTTTTATGGAGGCTTCATTACATAGGAACCATAGATTAAATCATAGCCCATTGGTGATCAACTCAACCTTTAGCCCTTCTTTCCTCACTGGTTGTCAGAAGAATGGAAATGAAAGTCCCAACCCTCTAATCATTACTTTGTCTTTCTGGTGACCAGCCCCATCCTGAAGCTACAGAGGAGACTGCAGCCACCAGTTATCTCAGTAGCATCCAAAAGACACTCATCACTCTGGAGATCCCAAGGATTATAGGAGCTGTATACCAGGAACCAGGGGCAGAGACTGTCATCCAAATGAGTATGAGGATGGCTAAATAGTAGAAAGGAGAGTTTTATTGGTGATATCAATTTGCAGACTGGGAAGAGACAGTCTCCAGTGTGGACCAAAGGTGCTCTCTCTTTAAAGAGGGAAAGATCAAGTTGGGTTTTATACCTCACAGGGTCTGTATTGCACAATAGAGTCCATACATATTCAACAGGTTTGGGGGAAGCTATATATTGATATAGTTATTAGGAGAGCTGAGCACATGCGCAATAGGTAAACATGTTTGTAACATATTAATACATCCCATGTTCACCTTGGGGCTGGGGTTTTAGCATTACAATGAAGTAGAATTTGGTTCTTTATGTCAAAAAGTAAACTATAGGTCACAAAGACAGCTTGTGTATAGTCTGTATAAGCTGACTGAAACTGGCTTAAGGTCTGTAGATACTTATAAGAAAAGAATGGGTTTTTTTGTTTTTATTTTTTAATTTTTTTTATATTTTCTTTATTGTTTTTTTTTTTTGTCTTATTTTTCTTCAATGCTAGTGAAGTTTAAGGAAAGAATGTTTATAAGGCTGGTCCTCTGTCCCACTAGTTGTAGTGGTCTAGTTTGTAAATCCAGTTAGAAGGGGTCTGATAACTTGCCTCATGGCTCCTACTATTAGGGAGTTTAGTGAGAGTGTGGTTTTTCTTGTAGCATTTAGAAATTTGCCATGCCAGCTGGGGTCTGAATCCTTGACTTGTAGGTAACTTTTGTTTCCTTAACCTTAGGGTCTGTCTGAGTTGATAAAGGAGCATCTATTTTGGTGTCTTAGATCACAAGACCAAATATATATTTCTTATTCTAGTACAATGGTGTACTACTCCTTAGAGATGACTTGAAAAGAACAGAACAGATGAGAAGGGTATTAGATCAGTGGTTCTCAAACTGAAGCTCACATTAGGCTTACATGGAGGGCTTGTTTAAACTTAATTGCTGGCATTCACCTCCAGGGTTTCTGACTCTGTTGGTCTGGGATGGGGCATTAGAATTTGTATTTCTCTAAAGTTCCCAGGTGATGTAATGCTGTGGCTCTGGGCACCAACAGTATTACATGACCTATGAGTTAGGGAAAGGGAGGAGGGAGCAGAAGATCTTGCCTTTCATATATTCTTTTTTTTGGACTAAAATTTTATCCTTTAAAACAGAATTATGCCCTAAAAAATTTGGCTACAGAATATATGGTAAAAGCAAAAGAATAAAAAATGATTCTATAAAGATCTTTTCTTAGTAAATAGATGGAATGACATCAACTACTTTAAATGGAAAGGGATTTTTAGTTTTTGTTTTAAATAACATTTCCTAATGATAAAAGTAAAGTACTACATTGTAGGAAAGTTGAGAAATTCAGGAAAATGTAAAGACTAATCTAAGTATCCAAAGATAATCACTCTTGTCATTTTGGTCAATTTGAAAATAAATTAAAGGAAAAATAAGGAATACCCATTAAGATAGAAACAAAACTTGATCTACAATGTCAATTTAAGAAGGTCAGTGGTCTGAGTCTGGTTTCATGCCTGTGCTCCAAGTTGCTATCTTATAGGAAAACAGAACTAACTTTTATTGGCTGTTTGCTATGTGTAGGCCCTTTGCGTATATTTCCTCATTGACTCTCACAACAACCTTACAAGGCAGATGTCATCTGTATTTAACAGACAGGAGACTGAAGGCCAGAGAAGTCCCCAGCTAGTAAGTAGCAACGGTGGTGCAGTGTGGAATCCACGTTCATCTGACTTGTGAATGTCTGCATTTCCCACGACAGGGACTGCCACAACCTTTAGGCAGATCACTGTGAGATTGCTTAAGATATTGTGAACTCCTTAAAGAGGAGATAATAGCAGAGGATGCAGTATTGGGTCATGGGGCTTCCTACCCTTCAGGGACCTCAGGGAGAGAGGCCATAGGGAAACCACTACCCCTGGAGTAGTAATATGCAGAATGAGATAAGAAAAACCCTCCCACGATGGCATCTTAGAATCCCGAGGTCTGTGGGACACTAAGGCAAGACTGGGGACGAGACTAGCACAAGTGATAAATGAATTCCTTGTGGGTAAGCTAATAAACAGAGGTTCTGGGGGAGAGTGGTTTCTCCTAAGGGGTTAAAGTGTATTTAAAAGAACTGGTGAAATAAAGAAATGTAGGCCATAAAGATCCCTGACCTTGCGCAAATGAGGTCACTTTCAAAGTTACTACTGTCCTAAGAAGTTTGTTGACAAGAGGAATTGCACAGAGGGGCACACGTTGTTAAAGAGAGTTCTTTGCTTAGGGGAGGGGAAGGTGATTGTTGGCTTTTGTGGAATTAGGTAACCCTAAGCATATTTATACACAAAGAACCAAGATCAATGACAAGTGAGTAAAGTGAAGCATTAAGAAGTGAGGTGACCACTGAGGAGTAATGAAGCCAGTAGGAGTCGCCTCAGGCCTACAGTGGAAAGAATTAGCCTTAGCAAGGGAAGGGAACGGGAAGGGAGGCAGCCTGATCTCTGAAGGCAGAGAGGAGGTCATTAAAATGGGGAGGATGATGAACACATAAGGGAGGAGGCTGAGGCAGCTCACAGCTGCCTGACTGATTTCAGCAAATCAAACTTCTTAGACACAGAAGGGAGCTTCAAGAAAGATGTCAGTGATTCTTGAACTTCGTTGACCACAGCCCATCTCCTTAACGTGCTCCCACTTTGCAATGAGAGTTAAAAGAGGGTTAGAGAGGAGAAAAATGAAAATGACACCACATTTTAGTAAGCCTTGATAATTCACTTACTATTGCTAAACAACCCACAGTAGGACTTACAGATGAAAGGTTTTTGAAACTGAATCTTATTTTTTCCATGAGAAGTGGAGAAACAGCTTTCATCCCTAGGGTGGTTACTGGCCCTCCTTCCTCGAGAACCCCTAGGCACACCCTGCAGTGGGCACAGGCCACACTGAGGATCAATCTATCCTGCCCCTCCCCCAACCCCCACCCCCACCAGCTGAGGGAAGCGAGGCTTGGAAGGACTTTACACAATTACACATAGCCTGTTAGCGGTGGGCCCTGCACTAAACCTAGGGCCCTGCACTAAACCTAACTCCATGTCCAGGGCTGGTTACCCGTCTTCAACAAAGATGATGTCACGTAAGTTCATGGGGAGGGGAAGACCTGAGAAATAGTGAATGTTTAACTTGCTGCCATAGAGGAGGGAACACACTGATCAGTAGATCAGTCAAGGAAAGCCCTCTTGGGATGAGCCCTATTTGAGGTCAGTTGCTTGACTGGGGCCCAGAAGCTTCTACTGGTAGTTTCCTAAAGCTGACATTACAAGAGTTCAAAAGGGGCATGGAAGTCTAGGAAGCTCCTGAGGATGTCACTGAAATGACTGGGAATCAAGTCAGGGGGACTGGTAGTTTTAGCAAAAGCAAAAGGACCATGTGACTGTGGTTAAAAGGAGGGCAAGAATGGGTTATGTGAGAGGGGAGAGGGGATGGTAGGGAACGGTACCTGTTACAGGCAGGTGGAATCGGAGACCCTCAGGTGCACCAGTTCTGTGTGGTGATGCACACAGATGATGCTGGCTGCAGGGCAGGAGAGAGGCATGTCTCTGCAGGAGAGTGAGGTGTTGAGTGTCATTGCTGTCATGAAAGGGACAGCTTAAAGAATATGATCTGAGTTATCTTCAGAGATGAAGGTTAATATACCTTTGGTGGTTTAGTCTCCCAATATTTGTTTTCTTCTTCTATGAGATCTTGGGCAAAAAAAGCAATTCATAGCAATGAGAGCAACTGTTTATTGACTATCTGTCATATATTAGACACTTCATGTATATTACTTCATTTAACCTCCAACAACCTTATAAAAAAGCTATTATTATCCCCACCTCTCAGAAGAGGAAACCAATCTCTGAGACTCTGGAAACTCACTCAAAATCACATAGCTAATACATCCTGGAATTCAAGTTGAAGTTCATCTGACCTTCAAAGTCTGTATTTAAGTAAACCTATCCCTAAGGACCATTTTCTGAGAATCCTCATTGTCAACTCCAAGGTGACCTCTTGCATTAGAACAGGGAGCTGGTTGAAAATACACATTTTCTCGCCTTGCATTATGCCAGCTGAAGGAAAGGCTCTGAGAGCGAGACCTAGAAATCTATATTTTTAACAAGCTCATTAAAGTTGACTAAGGCAGACTTTACTCCCCTGATGTTAAGAGGTACTTATTGGGAGTCTTTTGAAGCTTCCTTGCTTTGTTTCTTATTTTTATTGCCTGTCTGATTCCCTATTAGGAGAGCAACAGACACCCCGATGATCTAGACATCTCTGAGAGGCTGTTTCCAGGGATGGGGTTGGGGGAAAGAGAGAAGCTCAGAGGTTGTGTCTTACATGCTGTTTTATCAGTTCTAGTACAACAAGGAAGGGAGGGGCCCTGGAAAAATGTGGTGGCAGCTAACAAGAGAGCAGGCAGGTTAATCTCTGGTCTGTGTGAAAAAATTCAGGGAATTGGCAGGAAAGCTAATGCAGGATCTAGAAGGGTCATTAGGGAGTTACCTGTTCTGGGGGTCCCCTTAATAGAAAAAAATCATTTGAGAAGCAAGGAGGATACACAACTCTTCCTTTTTCCCCTGTTGACTTGGAGAATAGAAGGAAGTGGCCAAACAGGGGAATGGTACCATCTGGAAGAAACCAGGATTCAGTTAAAGGGGTGGCAGTTAATAGGGTTGTTCCCAAGGGAGTCAGACGTTCCCAGGCCTTGGAGGGAGAGAGTAGTCTAGAGTGGATTTTGAAAGGTGTGGAGCTGAGTTGGAGAGAAGTAAACTGAGGAAGTATCCCTGGGGAAGGTTTTTTACTTCATCATAGAAAATAAAGGTGTCTGGGGACTCGGTGTGGCACAAGGAGCATAGGCGTGAACATCAGACAGACACGTGTTCACACCCTGGCTCTGCCAGTCCCTGGCTGTGGGACCTTGGGCTGGGAATGTGACCTCTCTGAGCTGAACATCTTCATCTGATTCCCACATTAAGAGATTTCTCAAAGGACTAGTTAGCTTATGTAAGATAACTGGCATGTACTAGGCAGGACACTCCAGTATGTGTGTTGGTGGCCAGTAGAGGGGGCTAGGGAGAGGCATGTGTTAGCAACAGGGAACGGAAAGTGGGAGCCTGTGGACTTGTCTTCGGGGAGGCTGGGAGGCTATCGGTTGGCATGATGGCGTGGCAGCTGGTTGAGCTGCCGCAAGTTTGCATCTGATTTCTTCCAGGCTGGGCTGTGACTTGCCTTTAGCGCTTCTAGGGACTCTGCTACGACCACTTCCTGTTGTGCTGGAAGTTTGTTGCAAACTGGAGCAGCTGGATAGGCCACCAGTTGGCCCCTTTGCCGTTGGCCTCAGCAAATCTCTCACCCTCTGTAGCTGGGTCCAGAATGCTGTTTTCCGCCCCCTCCTGCTATGCCAGGGAGAAGCCTCAGGCAGCACCCTACTGTTTTAGGAGTGTCACAGGGCCTGGGGAAGAGATGAGGAAGTAGGGAGACAGAGGGGAACAGAGGCGTGCCAGGTTGGGGGTCTGTCGTTCACAGCATGTGGCAGGCATTTCCTGCACTTAAACATGAAAGTACATGTCTTACATGCATGGATAGTCAGAGACCTTGGGAGACGTATTCAACCATAATTACCTCAAAATAGAAATTCATGAACAAAAACAACTAAATGCTTTCATTTTTAATTTGCACTCACTGTGGGTTTTGTGCCTGAGACCAGCCCTGCCTAGGTTACTGGAGCGATATTGTTGTGGCCCCTTTGTGCTGCTTTTTAAAATACTATTTTCTTTGCCCATAAAGGAAATGGTATTTCCCTTCCCTCTTCCTGCGTGCACCCCACTCTTTCCCATACTTAGGGAAAATCCCAACACTTAATAAGATGAGAAGAGTAGAAATGATCCACTTGAGTCCACTTGAGCATTTTGCACTTCCTTGCTTTCGTCCCAGAGATTTTCTCCCACCAAGGGTTGGTTTGCCAGCTAGAAACACTCTTCAACGTAATGACCTCATATTTCTGCCCATTGACTTCAGCATCATATCCTTCCTTTTGTCTTTCACTCCGAGCAGACAGCCCTGAGCTTGCCTGGCAGACAGTCTTACCCCTGACTCACAGCCTCCCCTAAGATCTGCACCTTCTATTTGTGGCCTTGGCTTCTGGTTTTGTTGGCCCATGGCCTGAGATTTCATCGTCTGCCAGGATCTATCCATCTACCTGTGCATTTCAGGTGATGTTAGGAGTGAGCAGGAGGGTGAGATGGGGTGTGGAATTTATAGTCTTGCATATAGAGAATTTATTCCCAGCCACTTGCCAGAGCTACAGTTGATTTACTACGTCCTTAACCCTTACTCCCATGCAAGATAGGTGAGAATGGACTTAGAGGAGAGAAGCTGGCTTCTTGCAAGACCACAAGGTGGAGAGAAGTGAAGTGGGAGGTTTGGAGCTTGCCCTGGTTGAGGGTCTGCATTTCTCCTTCTTCCCCTGCAGCCCTGGCCCGCCACCGCTACATGAAGCAGGCTCAGGCCCTAGGTTCTCAGATGATGGAAAAACCCCTGTACTGGGGGGCGGACAGGAGCTCCCAGGTTTCATCTTATGCAATGAACCCGCTGCTGCAGCGAGGTAAACCTTGCCCAAGATTTGGGGTTTGGGGAGGGCAGAGGGCAAGGGTAGGAACATGGACAGCATCGGGGCCCCATGACCAATAGGGTGTGTGCCTTCATGACTGCGGGTGGGAGGGAGTAAAGGCAAGCTAAATGATGTAACATTCTAATGTCCTGATTCTGTTTGGGGCCAGTAGATCTGCATGTTCTGTCCTTGTTTTCATTCAGATTTGTCCCTGCGGTCCAGTCTTCCACAGATGCCAGCGACCCAGACTGCGGCTCACCCTCCCATCACCAATGGTGTCCTGGAGTATTTGGAGAAAGAGCTGCGGAACCTCAACCCGGCCCAGCCTCTGCCCCCTGACCTCAAAACCAGATTGGGCCATCCCTGCAGCATGCTGTCCTCCTTGGGCTCCGAGGTTGTGGAACGCAGAATAATCCAGCTGCCCCCACTGATCAGAGACCTGCCATCCTCAGGGAGGACCAGTGACTCCTCCCGCCAGCAGTGGCTCACTCCAGTTCCCTCCAGACCCTGGGATCTGAGGGAGGGGAGAAGGCCGCACCATTACTCTGATTTCCAGCAGGATTTCCAGGACCGGGGGCCAAAGCCCTGGGCATTGGAGAGAAGGGAGCTGGACCACCCGCAGAGTGGAAGGCACCACAGCTCCAGGCTCAATGGGTCACCCATACCCTGGTCAGACAGGGACAGCCTCAGTGATGGCCCCTCATCTAGCGTGGCGCGCTGGCGTCCCAGCCGTCCCCCTCTCAGGAGCCACTATCAGCAGAGGCCCCGCAGGCCCAGCCCCAGGGAGAGCGCCCAGAGGCGTGGGAGACGCAGGCACCGCAGCTACTCTCCTCCCCTGCCCTCGGGCCTCAGTTCTTGGAGCTCTGAGGAGGAGGAGAAGGAGAGGCAGCCCCAGAGCCGGAGGGCCCACCGCCAGCGCTCGCACTCCCCAAGCTGGCCTGAGGAGAAGCCGCCCAGCTACAGCTCACTGGATGTCATTCCAGGCAAGAATGGCAGGAAAAAAGGGAGTGTGGAGAGGCGCTCGGTGAGCCTGGGGCATCCTACTGAGGGTCGGGCATGGGCAGAGAGGACTCTCCAGCCAGGCATGGCCGCAGCTGACACAGGCCGCCTCGTGTGCCCCTGCTGAGGGTGCCTCCGCCCTGTTTTGCACAAATTACTCCTGTCGGCTGGGTGAGCCACCCCTTGTCAGAGCTAACGGGACCTAATGAGTACAGGGTGCCAGGCAGTGTGGAGTGCAGCAGAGAGGCTCAAAGTGTACAAACGGCCTTGTCCTCAGTGTCACCCTAGGTCTCATCACAGTCCTCTGAGCAGGTCAAGCAGTGTCCCCAGTTTACGGATTAGGAAATGAGGTTCAGAATGACTAAGCACCTTGTGAGTAGTGGAGCTAGGACTTGAATGCAGGCCTGCATGGCTGAGGCTTTACCTCCTTTCACAGCTGCCTTGCTTTATTTAGCAGTGTATTTCCATACCCCAAATTAGAACGGGCAGCTTGACAGAAAACATTTGTCAAGTCAGCACACAAGGTCCTAGTGTATATGAGGATGAGGCCATCTGAGACATCTTCTAGAAAGGATCATTTAAAATGATTTTTTTTAAAAAAACAAAACCCTGATATCCCAAATATGGATCAGAATTTTGGGATTATTAGGCAAGATGTCAGTGGGTGCCAGACATAGTTTACCAGGCTAAAAGGAGAACACAGGAGGATGTAGGTGCTTTTGTTTTTTCTTTGTAGAGATGGAGTCTTGCTCTTGCTCAGGCTGGTCTGGCACTCCTGACCTCAAGAGATCTTCACCCTTCAGCCTCCCAGAGTGCTAAGTTTGCAGGCATGAGCTACCACACCTGGCCAGGATATAGGTCTTTGGGGCCTCTGGAGGACAGGTCTTTTGTTTTTTAGAAATGACTTTAAAACATCATTTATAATTAATACCCCCAAATGATGGTGTTCATTTAATATTGGCACTTTGCCAATGAATGCTTCCGTTGCTCAAAAACATTAATGAACTGCCTCAGAGCCAATTTACAAGCTACCCACCAAAGTCTTCTATTTAACTAAAATCCTTTTCTCTTTTGCTTCTGTTAAGATGGTCAAAGAGACATGAAGTAGCTCTGAGGGAAGTTCCTAGAGTAGAGGGATATTACAAAAAGAATTGTAGTCTCTCATGGGCTTTGAAGGATATAACTCCCATTTGGACATACGTGTTCTGCTATGATTTTATTAAAAAATCAATCACACACATGGTGTGTGAAAAGGAGCAGGCCTCTTAGAAGAGCCACAGTGCTGCTCTTTCTAAAGCAGAACCTTGGTGAGAAAGCAACGTATAAGGAAGGTAGTGAAGACCAGCAGATATATCTGAAATAGTCAATGGCAACTATGTCATTTTATCACAGATGTCTCATGAGACACAAAGATCAGCAATAGTGAAAATAGCCACCCCTTGCTAAGTGGTACTGAGTTATAGACGTGCAGCATCTCATTTAATCCTCACAACAATCCTGTGAGATTTATACTATTATCCTCATTTGCAGATGAGACAACTATTTTTTCTATGTTATCAGTAAGAAAATTACATCCTGAAAGAAAATACAGTCAAAGGTCAGACAACTGACAATGACAGTTACTTTATCATATAGTGACTAAACCACGTCTCTTCATTTTAACAGAAAAAATATAATTTAAAAACCAGTTTGGGGCCAAAAATCTAAACCCCATTTTCTTCTAAGTTAAATTCTTTTCTTGGTTTTCTTTAAGTTAAATAATGTGGCTTCTTGTAAGAGAGGTGTAAAAGAAACATCAGTTATGTTCCAGACACTAGAGTTAGCCCTTTCTAAGCCTTAATTAATCCTCACAACCACCATTTGAGGCTCAGAGAGGTTGAGTAACATGCCCAAAGCCACACAGTCAATAGGGAGTGAAGCCAAAGTTTGAACATAGCCCTTCACACCCCCCCCCCAAGCCTGTGCTCTTTTCAATAACTCATGCTGACTCCTTAGAAAGAGAGAAGAGTATCATCAGGGGTTGATGATATTTTCTGATAACTTTATTTCTTCTTCATTTTCTGAGTGTAATACAGCTTCCTTTAGCATCAAGAGGTATACATCAATAATTCTACCATAAGCAAACCAAATTTCAATTGTAAAGTTGCTCCCCAGAGGCAGAGATTTTGTTCAAGGCAATTTTAAAAGCCTCCATTGTTTTGGGTCTTTATGAGCTTATCTCCCAAGGAGTTATCGTTTTTTACATTATCACATTCAACTTTCCCCTCATATTCTTACCATGACCAGAGGCCCAGGGCCAACAATTGATTTGGCAGATTGGTTAGTTTGAAGGGTAGAGTGTTTTGTGTGATTTGTTTGCAACTTGAATTTTGAATGCCTTTATTGAGGCAAAAACATCTCCAGGACCAAAGTCTTGCTCTTCCCTCCTCTCCTTGGAGGCTGGATCAGGGGTGGGGAACCTGCTGCCTTTCGTCTGTAAAATTTGGATTGAGTCTTGGCTGCACTTAAGGATCTAGAAAGCCAGATTTAGCCTTAGGGCCACAGGTTCCCCACCCCTGGACTGGATGCTTCCCAGACAGGTTACCTTCCTAGCCTCTGAAATCATTGGAATTTGCAGCAGAATTCAGATACCATAATATGATTAGGCCTCTAGATGGTGATCTTTGATCATGGACACTTGCAGTTTCTGTTTGTTCCTAGAGCTGATAAGATATATCACTGTTTTGTTTTTTAAAGCAGCCTTTCAGTTACAGCTTAACCATAACTTTTTATAAGATACTTATCAAAAATTATTTAGTGTTTAGAAAAATATGAATTAAACAAAAAAGTTCTTGGTTCACACGGAAACTTCTCTCTCAAGAGTGATGTGTAACAGATACTAATAAACAAGAGTTTCCATGTAGATGATCTCATAGGAGCCTGAAATAGCTAAGAACTATTTTTTGCACAGTGTCCATGAGGAAATGGAAGTTACGTTGAGGGATCTCCCATCCAACTCCAGAACCGGGACTCCAGCTGAGATCTCAATTCAGGTCTGGTGTCTTTTCACTCAGCTGAAGCTACAACCTCAGAAATATAAGGAACAGAAACTTCAAGCTTTTAACTCCAGTGATTATAGACTGAGTGGCCCCTCTGTTCCTGGCCTCCGTCAAATCAGTTATCTTTCTTTCCAGTCTTGCCAGGCATTTCTGGCTTGTTCCAAACTTGGCCTATACACACCTATTCTACTGCAAGAGAAAACCACCGTGTTCTATTCTCGTCAAGCTAAATTCAAACTTTCAATAGAGAATCCTGGCTTTTCCCCTTTTTTTCTTGACTTTTTGATTTATTGAAAAAACTTATATCAGGATTCTTAATCTTCTGCTTTCAACAAAATGTCTCCTCCATGGTCATGTCTAGGTTTTCCTTTAGCCAGTTCTGTACAAACTCCTTTTATCCCATTTCATTGTTTTCCTTTGTGTCAGATAACATTAATCTCACAGCATTTTGGTTAGAAAACATGACTTCTAAAACTCACTTTCCTGATAATTGGATTTTTTATAGCAACATGAATGTACATACATATATGACACCTTTTGAACAGTATATTTTAGGACAGATGTCTTATCTTCCTACATCAAATAAGATAATGGAAGGTCACATTCATGAACTACAAGTATAGATCTTCAAAACTTTAATAAAACAATCCCCTATAGCACATAGTTAGAGAAATACGAGAAATGTAAACCATAGTTCTTTACTGTCATCAAGCAAGTGGAAAAAGCCCAAAGACCAAGTGGAATAATTTCTGATGAAAAGCCACTGAGTTTAGTCGTGAAGACGTAATTAGTGATCTTTGAAAAATAACTTCAGAGAAATACTAAAATGTGAAGCTAAACTTTTTAGAAAAAGGCTGGGAATAAATGGTTCAGGAGACTATAAATAGGAAAAAGAGAACTGGGCTATGTCTTCATGGATAAATGGTAGAGAGATGGACTGATGAATGGAACAGGTGGCTGTTCCATTCATCAGACTTTTTTTTTCAGTCTAAAAGAGACTTGAAGATGTTAAAAAACAGACCACGCGGCAGAGTGAAGAAGACTGTAAGAATGTTTCTGAAATTAAGGGTATTTGAGGGAGACTCTAGAGAGGTAGGCAGGAAGAGAAATCTAAGCCTGAGGAGAGAGACTTGCTTTATGCAGAGTCAAGAAATAGTCTTCAGGTTCAGATCTGCTGTTCTGGCAGCCGCCACTCACTCAAGATTTGTGAATCAAGTGCACCTTGTGTATTGTATACATAGAAGATTCTGGCTGACTGGATTTTTTTGTGCTCTTCTATTCCCCAGGAGAGAGGCAGCTCCCATAGTGGAAGGAGTGTTGTCATTTAGTCTCCAGGCACAGCACAGACTCTGTGGCTACTTCTTGGCTCCCATGTGTCATCACCATCGTCTAGATTTCCAGCTGACTTGGGCGGGACCTGCACGTCTGTATATAACGGTTTTGGCTTACATTCTGAGAATCAAATAGAAGAATTTTAAAAACAAGAATTTAAGGAATTAATGACTGTCATTTTAGCTTTGGTTCACACACTCTGCATATTTATATAGTCTCTGACTAGTGATGGACCCTAACTGGGATGTGGTCCCTCAGGAACTTAAGTAGCCTGAGTCTTTAAACTAGGCTACACTGCCCAGGACTATGGCCATTTTCAAAGTGAGGACTCAGAAATTTTTAAGAAGAAATCAAACAAGTTGGAAATTTATGGAGTATTATAGGAAAGCCCCATGGGAACTTGTCTCCCTCTATTGCATATCTTGAGTGTCCCTCCATATTTGGAGTTTATCCTGCTGACCCCATGCTCAGTCCTGGGCAATTCTGAGGTTCTAGCAAGAGATGTCACAAGACATACTCCATCCTTGTGCCCTCTCCTGGGCTATTTATATTAAATGTAGAAACTCACAAGCAAGGAGTTTTTACAGTCTTATTCCTGTGCCTTGTTTTCTTCTTGCTCTTAATTTATATTTTCTTATATTATGTATCCATTAAAATCACTTTAAATGCTTCTTGGGAACAGCACAGTGTATAAATAAAAAATAAAATGTACTAGGCTGAGGATTCTACCCCAAATAAATATCTGCTTTTCTACTTTGGTGCACTTGATTGGATTAAGCCTCCTTCCCCACTAAAGCTCAGAGAAAAGCCTGGCCAACCTGGGTAGTTCTGGAGCCATCATTCTCTTGGCACTACTCAGATTTCTCAAGCAGAAGCATCCAGGCAGGTCTTGCCTCTCAGCCCCAGGAGGAAAGAGCTGTGTGTGCCCTCCCTGTAACAACCTCTACTACCTTCTCTCATTTTCTGCAGCCCCTTTGGAGGCTTCGTAAATCCATTTGTACTTGATGTGGAGACCCACCCTGAGCATATTGGGAGGAGGTAGCCTGAGTGGAGGGCGGGTTGTGTTCTTCAAGAGTATTCGTATGTGCTCAATTTGTAGCCTATTAACATTCATTTTTCCCACTCTTGTTAACTTAATTCCATGTGGAGAAAATAGGTTAAATTTCTGCATTGGACAAAGGTTTCCTTTATTGATATCCATGTGTAAGGGCCAAATGTAGCAAAACAGGAAAAAAGATTTTAACAGATAATATAGACAGAAAAATTCAGTAGGCGAGGGACTTCTGGTTGGAACAAGATGGCACTGCCTGCTCTTCTCTGTTAAGTACAACTTCATACATCTTGGAAATGGCACAAGAGACAACCAGAGGTTAACTATGAAGGATGTTAAGAAGGTAGCCATCTAGTTTGGGAACCCAGGACCAGAAGAACAGCACAGAGGCAAGGCATCTTGCATCTCCTTAAACAATAGAAGGTGTTTTCTGACTTCCCACCTAGCAACAGAAGGTAGTCTGCTACTAGCTTGTTCATCCCATTGGATCTAATGGAGTCCCTCTGGCAACCTCAGGCAAGGATACAGATTGGGAGTCCTGCAAAAAAATAAGTGACCAGGGGAAGTACTCTCCTGCCTGCTGGGGCAGAGATTCTTGTTTTCTGAGGAGAGATACTGAGATGGGCAGGAAGAATCAGTAAGAGAAACCCAGGAAAACCGAGTGGTCCAGTTGGGGAAGCCTCTTTGTGCAGGCCTGAGACTCTTCTCCCTTGCAGGAACATGAAGAGGGAACTTTCACAGCCAGCAGCCCTGCAGCTAGCAGCTTCAATGTGGAAGCCACTTTGTGGAACTGAGACTGTCGGCCCAGAGAAACCTGATCAGCTGGGGAACACCAGCAGGAAGATTCCTCACACCCTTCCCTCACCAAGAGATATCTGGCAACCTGGGCAGGGAAATTCCTCCTGCTCCCTCAGGCAGTACCTACAGAGACTAGTGGAGGGCCCCAGCAACACCAAATAACCAAGCAGACCAAACTAGCACTACAGGGCTCTGAAAATTAAATTGCCATTAGAATCACAACCCACAAAAGTAGGCTAAGACATATATGCTAAACCTAAAGAATAACTTGCTATAAAATAAAATATTTATATAGAGCTCAGAGTCTCCTAACATAATAGACAAAATGTCTGGAATACAAACCAAGAACCAAGAAAATAACAACTGAAATGAAAAAGGAAATCAACTGATGCCAACACTGAGATGAATCAGATGTTGAAAATATCTGATAAGAATTTGAAAGCAGACATCATATAAATGCTACGATAATTATAAATTATTTTGAAACAAATGAAAAAAATCTCGGAAAAGAAATAGAAATTATATTTTAAAAGAAATGAATGGAAATTATAGAAGTGAAAAATACAATAACCAAAACTGAAAACTCACCAGATAGGCTCAGTAGTGCAATAGATATCATAGAGGATAAAATCTGTGAACTTGAGGACAGAAGAATAGAATTTACCCCATTTGAACAATAGAACATAAACTACAAAAAATGAACAGACCTCAGGGACCTATGAGACAATAACAAAATATTATTTATATCACTGGAATTAGAGGAGAAAAAAGGGTAGGGATGAATGAATAATTGAAGAAATAATGGCTGAAAATGTCCCAAATTTAATGGAAGACACCAACCTAGAGATCCAAGAAGCTGAATGAATCCCAAAGATAAAAAATCTAAAGAAATCCATGTGAGGGTACACCATAATTAAACTTTTGAAAACTGAAGACAAAAAAAGCCTGAGAGAGCAGCCAGAGAGAAATAATGCATTACCTGTAGGGAAACATCAATTTGAATGGATTTCTCATCTGAAATCATAAATAAGGAAGTGGCCAAATATTTTTTTAAGTGCTGAAAGAAAAGAAGTGTCAATCCATAATTCTATATCTGGCAAAACTATCAAGAGTCAAGGGAGGAGAAAAACATTCACAGATGAATGAAAACTAAAATATTTTGTCACTAGCAGACCAACCCTTAAAAGACTGGCTAATAAAGGAAGTTCTTCAAACAGACAGGAAATTATAAAAGAAGGAAACTTAGAGCATCAGGAAGGAATAAACAATAGAAAAAGCAGAAATATTGGTTCATATAATAGGCAACTCCTTTCCTTATGAGTTTTATAAATCATATTTGATGATTGAAACAAAAATGGTAATGCCATCTGATACTCAAAACTGATACTTAAAGAAAACCAAAGGGATCTAAATGGAAGTGAGGTTTCTATGCTTTATTCAAAGTGGTAAATGTTGATCCCAGAACATTGTTATAAGTAGCATGTGTAACATCCAATGCAACTACTATGAAAACTATACAAGATGTAAACTCAAAAGTACTATAAATAAATCAAGATGAAATCCTAAAATATATTCAAGTAAATTGCAGAAAGACAAAGAGAAAAAGAGAAATGAGAACCAGAGGAAAGAAATAGAAAATAAATAATAAAATAACAGACTAAAGTGCTAACATATCAATAATTACTTTAAATGTAAATGGTCTAAATACATGAATCAAAAGACAGACATTGGCGGACTAGATTAAAAAAAAAAACCTAACCATAATCCAACTATATGCTGCATAAAAGGAAATCACTTCAAATTCAAACATAGGTAAGTTGAAAGTAAAAAAGGGTGGAAAAAGATATACCATGTACAGGTTAATATTTTTTTTTTAAAAAAGCAATAATGTTTGGATAAAATAGACTCCAAACTAGAAGCAAAGAAAATTACCAGTGACAAAGAGGATCAATTCACCAGGAAAGACATGATATACTAAATGTGTACAAACTAAACCACAGAGTCTCAAATACATGAAGCAAAAACTGATAAAGCTGAAATGAGAAATAGAAGACTCTACGGTTATAGTTAGGAATTTCAACACTGCCATCCCCACCCTCTCTGGCAATTTATAGAAGTATGGAGCAAAAAAAACCAAAAAAAATCACAAGGATATGGAAGATCAACACAACACAATCAACAAGATCTAATTAACGCTTATAAAACATACCACCTAACAGACCTAACAGAATATGTTTTTCTCAATTGCCCAGGAAACATTCACTCAATAGAAAAGAAAAAAAAAACATTTTATACCATTTTATACCATAAAACAAACTTCAACAAGGGTAAAAATTAAAATCATTTAGAGCATGTACAATGACCATAATGTAATTAAACTAAAACTCTCTAACAAAGACAACAGGAAATTCTTGAAACACTTGAAAACTAAGCAAGACACTTATAAATAATCTGTGGGTCAAAAAAGGAGTCTCAAAGGAAATTAAAAGGTGACATAGAGCTAAATATAAATGAAAACAAAGTATGTGGGATACAGATAAAGCAGTACTGTAATTTATAGTGCTAAATACATTAAAAATGAGGAAAGGCCAGAAGTGGTGGCTCACACCTGTAATCCCAGCACTTTGGGAGGCCAAGGCAGGAGAATCACTTGAGGCCAGGAGTTTGAGACCATCCTGAGCAACTCAGCAAGATCCTAGTCTCTACAAAAATAAATAAAATTAGCCAGGCATGATGGCACACACCTGTAGTCCCAGCTACTTGGGAGGCTGAGGCAGGAGGATACTTGAGCCCAGGAGTTTAAGGTTGCAGTGAGCTATGATGATGGCACTTAACTCTCGCCTGAGCAACAGAGAAAGACCCTGTCCCCTACCCCACAAAAAGAAGAAAGATATCTATAATTTAACTTCCTACCTCAAGGAACTTGAAAAAGAAGAGCAAAATAAACCCATAGCAATCAGAAGGAATGAAATAATTAAGAGCAGAAGCCAATAAAATTGAAAACTGAAAATAGAAAAATATTACCAAAAAGAACAATGAAACTAAAAGCTGGTCCTTTAAAAATTATAATAAAATTGATAAACCTCTAGCAAGATTGACAAAATAGAAAACAAATCACCAATATGAGAAATAAAATAAGAGGTATTATTCCAAATACTGCAACCATTAAAAAAGATGATAAAGGAGTACTACATACAACTTTATGCTCAGAAATTTGACAACTTAGAAAAAATGAAATAATTCCATGAGAACCACAAACTATCAAAACTAAGATGAAATAGACAATCTGAATAGCCCTATTACTATGAGAGGAGATTGATTTTTTAATTATAACCTCTTCAAAATAAAATCTCCAGGCCCAGATGGTTTCACTGAAGAATTTCTACTAAACCTTTAAAGGAGAATTGACACCAAGTTTATATAATCCCTTCTAGAAAATAGAAGAGGAGGACATATTTCTGAACTCATTTGGAAGGCCAGCACAAAGCCTGACAAAGACATTACAAAAAAAAAGAAACTATAAACAGACTTCTCCCTAAACTTATATGTAAAAATCCTTAACTTACTTTTCAATTTTAAAATGTACTATAAAGCATCAATACTCAAGACAGGGTGGTACTGACATAAGATTAAACCTATTAGTGTGACAGAATTGAAAATTCAGAAATAAACTCTTATATTTATAGGTAAATGGATTTTTTACAAAGCTGATAAGGCAATTCAATAGGAGGAAGATAGTCTTTACTACAAATGGTGGTGGACCATTTGTTTAGTCATATACAAAAAGATGGATTTAGACTCTTAACACACAAAAAATTAACTCAAAATGATAATAGACCTAAATATAAGAGCTAAAACTGTAAAATATTTAGACAAAAAAAAATACAAGAAAATCTTTGTGTTCTTGAGCAAGGCAAAGAGTTCTTAGATATGACACTAACAGCATAATCCTTCTGAGAAAAAAATGTATTAACTAGACTTCATCAAAATTGAAAACTTTTTTACTTCAAAGACCACCATTAAACATGGAAATACAAGCCACAACCTTAGAGAATACATCTGAAAATCATATTTCTGATAAGGTACTTTTAACTGGAATATATAAAGCTTACAACTCAATAATAAGACAACCCATTTTTTTTTTTAATGGGCAAGATTTCAATAGAGGCTTCACCAAAAAAGATATAAAAATTTCAGATAAACACTTGAAAAGATGATCTACATCATTAGGAAAACGCAAGTTAAAACTGCATTGACATATCACTTCATAGTCATTGGAATGGTGTGTTTATCTGCCATAACAAAATGGCACAGACTGGGTGACTTAAACAACAGAAATTTATTTCTCACAGTTCTGGAGGCTGAAAGACCAAGATCGAGGTGTCAGCAGATTTGTTTTCTCCTGAAGGCTCTGTCCTTGGCTTGCAGATGGTGGTCTTTTCACATACCTCTCATATGTCCTAATCTCTTCTTATAAAGACAACAGTCAGATAGGATTAGGGCATATCCTAAGTAGCCTCATTTTAACTTAATTCCCTCTTTAAAGGCCCTATCTCCAAATAGAGTCATATACTGAGGTACTAGAGGATAGTGCTTGAATATATGAATTTGGTAGGGGACCAGGGGGAGGACACAATTCAGTCTGTAATGTGGCATGTCCATGGAATTCTGTTCAGAAATAAAAGGGAAGAAATTCCTGACACATGCTGCAACATGGATGAACTTCAAAACCATTATGTGAAAGGAAAGAAACCAGATGCAAAGACCACATGTGGTCTGATTCTATTTATATGGAATATCCTGAAACAAAGGCTTACATTTCTGTAGAGTCAGAAAGTAGATCAGTGGTTGTCTGGGATGGGGTGGAAACAGAAATTGTAAATGGATGCGAGGATTCTTTTGGGGGTGATGAAAATGTTCTAAAATTGGATTGTTGTGATGATTGAACAACTTTGTAAACTTACTAAAAATTTTTAACTTGTAAACTCATGAGTGAATTTTCTGATTTGTGTATTATACTTCACTAAAGACTTCAAGCATAGTAGATGAACATTATTCCAAGTTTTTTTTCCTCTGAGCAATAGATACTCTTTTACAATGTTTTCATATAAATGCTACTACTTTAAGTTAAAAAAAAAAAAATTTTGCCCAAACTTAAAAAAAAAAAAAAAAAATTGAAGTGAAACTGGAGGAATTGTTAAACTTCATATCTTTCATTTTTAAGAGATTTTACTTCTTAAAGAAATCTTCCTATATTATGAAAGAAGACAAAGAAAAACATGGAGCAGTTAGAATAATTAATTGTGCTTTAAAACCTTAGGTTTCAGATAGACTTCCTGGCATAAAAATGAGAATGCTAGCACTCTCATACTTCTTCTAATATTACAGCCCCTCAACTCCCAACTTGTTAAACAAAACTAGTTATTTTTATTTTAGAAAATCTGAAAAAGATCTGAAAAAGATTTTTATTCAAGGTTTTTTTCAACTTCCACAGACAGGAAAGAATTCTGATGGCCATCTTAAAAATCAAAAGCTATTATTCTATTATAAGCTAGTCTTTTATAATTCTGTAGGAAAAAGCTGCTCTTTTCTTATGGGAGTTTTATGGAGGACAGAGTTTATAGAGTTCATTTTAAGTTCAGGTACATTAAGACATGAACTAGCCAAGCCTTCAGATTTCTTCTCAAACATATTTCACAATTTTTGGCAAACATAAAGGTTTACATTTCAGATGAGTCATTAGACAGTTTGACAGCACCAGAGTCTTAACTTCTTTAGCTTGAATGTAAGGGAAGTAAGCAGAGAAATACTGTAGTCGGTAAAGATAGAACATAGTCAAGTTTTATATTATTGGAAACTTCATCTGAACCTGAGGTTAGTAAATACAACCTTTCTTTAGACAGCCAGGTCATAAATATACTGTGCATCCCCTAGATCCTATTGTCATGCAAAAAAAATTTACAACATAGTGACTTCATCATCATATAGCTTTTGCAAAAGATCCTCATAAAGGCAATGGTCCTTGAGTTGTTCATGTTTATGACAGCTGTCAGTCGCCCTAAAACTTAAACCACATCTTGGTTGCTATAATTTTTCCTTTGAAATATTGTAGCAACTGCTCAATTATCTTTTGGTATTGAATGTTGCTGTGAAAAAAACTGAGGGTAGTCTTTGGGTATTTTATTTTTTCTTTTCTCTGTGGAGCAATGGTTCTTAAAGTATAGTCCCTTGATCCACAGCCTCAGTATCACCTGGAGTTTGTTAAAATGCAAATTCTCAGACTCCATTTTATAGCTACTGAATTAGGAATTCTCAGTATAGAATCTAGTAATCTGTTTTAACAAGCCATCCAGGTGCTTCTCATGCACACTAGTTTGATAACTGATTAAATATTTACTTTTTTTTTTTTTTTGCCTGAGTGCTTAAAGATGTCTTGCTTGAATTCAACAACATAATCCAGGAAAAAATTGAGAGGTCTTTATCAACATTTTCTGGATTCATCTTTCAATATGCACTCAGGCTGGTTGAGGATGCAAAGCAAACAAATACATCACTTGACTCCTACGACCAGATGACCATATGTTGTCCTTGCATATTTATT